TGCGCAAGCGCACGATAAGCGGCACGAACAGATGGAACAGTGATGTGGGTGAAATCAGTAGAGTATTRAAGATTAGCATGTATATAAAAGTGGCATTTGAATTGTTGGTAAAATATTGCTACTTCACTGCGGGTGGTTCAAACAAAGTTTAACTTAGTTATTAGCGTACTTAGTAATTTATTAATTTTTATTTTTACTTTTTAACGTTAAATGAATCCTAAAAGTGGAAAATGCCAGTATATGAACAGTTAGTAATACAAATATATGTAGATATATGCGTACACTGTAAGTAAGCGTGTACTTASAATGTTAATARTGAGTAGTCGATAGTTGTTAGTGGWTAGTAAAATAAACAATTACAAGTATTATGCACACAATCAATTTTAAAGTGCCTAAGCGGTATTGACGAGTAGTAGACCACAACACACCMGTACATATATACATATATAAAATAAATGTAAACACCTGTACGTAAGCTGCCAGCGCATTTTGAATGCTTTTTGGAGTGGCCTCTACTAAAATTTAACAAAAATATATTAAAAACAACAATAAATAATGTAGTGTTTCAATTGTTGTTAAGTAGTCAAAAGTAACCTCACTTAGCATTTAGAAGAAATTAAAAAAAAAAAATTACACACGTTACTTCGCGCTATACATATCTACACTTATGCATTTGCACACGTTTACGCGCTTAAACAAATGTAAAAACAATACAACTTTTATCTAGTGTCTAAAACGTCATACTCCGACAAATAAATCGAGCTACTTAAAAAAAGACTAGCACAATGCAAGATTAGTTACAGTAGTTATAGTACGGTTGCGAAACTGAAAGCAGTTTAATAAGCACATGTCAAAATGCGAAATTACAGTCAATGCAAAATCACGTAAAATCACTTTTCATAAGTTAACAGGCGAAAGAAAAACGTTAGAATAGAAACCAGTCCATATTGAGTTCGTTCGTTAAAAAATAACCAAGGTTATTTATCTGACAACGATTTTAAATATTTCTTGATGATACGTTGTTTTGCATTTTAGGTGACAATATATTTATGTACACTTATAATTTTTTTTTTTTCTGAAACTCAGTGTAAGTTTTTAATTTAATTTTTTTTACCTTTTCTTTAGAGTAAAGATGCTTAAGGGGTTACATGAGTTTCYTCGGCTAAAAAACACCMTTTTTTTCAAGAATTTTTTTCTCACATAAAAAATGATATATTTTATTASAATTTTTTATTGTTACATTACATATTGATATTAAAATACGCGAAAATGTAATTTTTTCGCAGTCCCGGTCAAWTTTGATCAGATGTGACACATAACTACCTATTAATATTTTTTATATTTTAAATACGTACTTGCATGCAAATAATATTTCCAACATAAATTATTGTACAATAATACTTAGCAGTTTTCTTCCAAAGTTTCAAAGTTACTAGTTCATACCACAATGCAAAAATTATAAATATATGAGAAAAAATTAAGGTATATAAAAATTAAATTAAAAAACTAAAAATTAATATGTTATAAATGAAAATGATTTGTSACTGCGCCACCACAATTGTATTTACAGTTAATTTTATTTTTTCTAAGAAAGTCTACTAAGTCTGACTGTTTGTCTATTAAATTTGTTTGTTTTTTATTTGCTTCAATGATAGTGGTAGGTATTATGACATAATTGACAAACATAATAACAAAGCAGTTCTTTATTAAACAACACTTTTTGTTGTTGCTGTAATTGGTATCTTAAGTATAATAATTGTGTTTAATTAATAGAAAAAATTAAATTTCCCATTTCCGGTATTCAAAGAAAATTCAAAGTTTTTTCTAATAAAGAAAATGCTACCAGTGCGATTGAGTGGTAACATAAATTCATATTTTTATAATTTTATAATATCAAATTCGTTGCAAAATTCAGATATTA